TTTCTGTTCCTTTATCCACAAATCATTCTGAAGGAAATGATGCCCTCTTGTGGTACACTTTAGTGTACACTCAAACACATGTTTTCTTTTTAAGAACTGGAGACAAATAATCATTCAATCTTTAAAATATCATCATTAAAAAAAAAAAAAAAAAAAACTTTTAAATAACATTCTCCACATAATATGTGCGTGAAAGTTTTTCTGTTTTAACATTAAAATATCTGTGTTGTATATTCTCCTGTAAAAAAAAACCTGAATGTTGTTTTTTTTAAATAGGAGAATAAACTATTACTGTACTGACAGACATTGGACTCATTTGTTTGGACAGATATCCACAAGTAGGCCTACTTTAAACAGATCATAAAAGGCAGTTTATGTTCAGTCGTAAAGATGTTTATCTGTAGAAGTGGTTTCTGGTCTCGGTGTGGTCTTCACACATAAACACATGAGCCAACACCTCCATTAAATCAAGTGTGGAGCAAAACAAACAGCTCCGTGTAGGGCATGAGAGTTCATCATAACCCCGTAAAACTGCCATCAGACGCTGTGTACAGCAGCGGCTCGGGACACATCACTTCCCTCATACCCGCCAATCAATATGAATATCTGCCGGATGATATTATATTCTTGAGGAGCGGGGAGAATATGTCAGAGGAACATAATAGTGCTCAGAGGTTTCTATTTCTCTTCCTGAAATGGTGTTATAGTTGACATACAGTGACAACAGAAAGATACAGAAAATAATGTGGATGGAAAAATTTGATGAGTAATATTTGAGTTCATATTGAGATCTCTCAACCTTTTTGACTGCAAGGACTTATTTCTAGATTTTGATAGCCTACTTCTGCTGTAATGTGCATTTTTTTTAAATAAATGTTATTTACAGGAGTTTTAATATACAGAATAAATAGTTAAAACAATTATGATTAAACAAAATAATTAAAATCCATAATTCCAAGTTTCAATAACTTAATGTTTTTCAGGTTTTACACTTTTTTACCAACGAATTTACATTATATGTTTCTAGTCATTTAAAAAAAAGGGCAATTTCTATTGACATAACTAGAATTTTTTTAATTGATTATTGACTTTAGTCTAGACTATAGACTATAGTCTAGAAATCATAATTCCCTCATATATCCAGACAGTTTTTTGAATAAATGAACAAGCTTGTTGTCTTATTTTAAATAATTTTAAGCCATCTTGAGGCTCTTGGACCCTATTAAGAACCAGCAAAGTCCCTTTAAAGGTGCAGTAAACGATTTCTGAGAAACTCTGTTGAAATTTGAAATCAACCCAAACAAACACGCCCCTCCCTTCATGGCTCCGCCCCTAAAATGCACAAACACACAATGCAAGAGAGGATGTCTCTTTATCATAGCTGAAGCACTCCTGTTATTTTAGCTACATTACAACAACATCATATCTTGGCTCTGTGAAACACAGTAAAGCCAATGTTACTCACATATGGGGCGAAAACAATGCAAACTCGACGTCCATTTTCACACCTTCCTGCTTTGGTCTCTTCAGCATTGGAAAGCTTTTATAATATTAATGCGCGTCTTAAAGCTCTTGCCTGATCATAATCCTTCTTTTTCCAGTAATTTTCCTCTGGCCTTTTCTCTTTTTGTAATGTCTGTCAGCCATCTCTCTTTCTACAGTTTTTCTTTAAATCTCCCTCTTGCTCACTCTCTCTCCTCCCCCATTATGAGTGGACACGCCCCTCTTGCTGATTGGCTCACTCTCTCTCCTCCCCCATCATGAGTGGACACGCCCCTCTTGCTGACTGGCTCACTCTCTCTCCTCTACCATCATGAGTGGACACACCCCTATTGCTGATTGGTTCACTCTCTCTCCTCCCCCATCATGAGTGGACACACCCCTATTGCTGATTGGCTCACTCTCTCTCCTCCCCCATTATGAATGGACACGCCCCTCTTGCTGATTGGCTCACTCTCTCTCCCCCATCATGAGTGGACACGCCCCTCTTGCTGATTGGTTCACTCTCTCTCCTCCACCATCATGAGTGGACACGCCCCTCTTGCTGATTGGCTCCCTCTCTCTCCTCCACCATCATGAGTGGACACACCCCTCTTGCTGATTGGCTCACTCTCTCTCTCTCCCCCATCATGAGTGGACACGCCCCTCTTGCTGATTGGCTCACTCTCTCTCCTCCACCATCATGAGTGGACACGCCCCTCTTGCTGATTGGCTCACTCTCTCTCTCTCCCCCATCATGAGTGGACACACCCCTCTTGCTGATTGGCTCACTCTCTCTCCTCCACTATCATGAGTGGACACGCCCCTCTTGCTGATTGGCTCACTCTCTCTCCTCCACCATCATCAGTGGACACGCCACTATTGCTGATTGGCTCACTCTCTCTCCTCCCCCATCTTGAGTGGACACACCCCTATTGCTGATTGGCTCACTCACTCTCCTCCCCCATCACGAGTGGACATGCCCCTTTTGCTGATTGGCTCACTCTCTCTCCTCCCCCATCACGAGTGGACACGCCCCTATTGCTGATTGGCTCACTCACTCTCCTCCCCCATCATGAGTGGACACGCCACTATTGCTGATTGGCTCACTCTCTCTCCTCCCCCATCATGAGTGGACACGCCACTATTGCTGATTGGCTCACTCTCTCTCCTCCCCCATCATGAGTGGACACACCCCTATTGCTGATTGGCTCACTCACTCTCCTCCCCCATCATGAGTGGACATGCCCCTTTTGCTGATTGGCTCACTCTCTCTCCTCCCCCATCACGAGTGGACACGCCCCTATTGCTGATTGGCTCACTCACTCTCCTCCCCCATCATGAGTGGACACGCCACTATTGCTGATTGGCTCACTCTCTCTCCTCCCCCATCATGAGTGGACACGCCACTATTGCTGATTGGCTCACTCTCTCTCCTCCCCCATCATGAGTGGACACACCCCTATTGCTGATTGGCTCACTCACTCTCCTCCCCCATCATGAGTGGACACGCCCCTATTGCTGATTGGTTCACTCGCTCTCCTCCCCCATCATGAGTGGACACGCCACTATTGCTGATTGGCTCACTCTCTCTCCTCCCCCATCACGAGTGGACATGCCCCTTTTGCTGATTGGCTCACTCTCTCTCCTCCCCCATCACGAGTGGACATGCCCCTTTTGCTGATTGGCTCACTCTCTCTCCTCCCCCATCACGAGTGGACACGCCCCTATTGCTGATTGGCTCACTCACTCTCCTCCCCCATCATGAGTGGACACGCCACTATTGCTGATTGGCTCACTCTCTCTCCTCCCCCATCACGAGTGGACATGCCCCTTTTGCTGATTGGCTCACTCTCTCTCCTCCCCCATCACGAGTGGACACGCCCCTATTGCTGATTGGCTCACTCACTCTCCTCCCCCATCATGAGTGGACACGCCACTATTGCTGATTGGCTCACTCTCTCTCCTCCCCCATCATGAGTGGACACGCCACTATTGCTGATTGGCTCACTCTCTCTCCTCCACCATCATGAGTGGACACACCCCTATTGCTGATTGGCTCACTCTCTCTCCTCCCCCATCACGAGTGGACACGCCCCTCTTGCTGATTGGCTCACTCTCTCTCCTCCACCATCATGAGTGGACACGCCACTATTGCTGATTGGCTCACTCTCTCTCCTCCACCATCATGAGTGGACACGCCACTATTGCTGATTGGCTCACTCTCTCTCCTCCACCATCATCAGTGGACACGCCCCTATTGCTGATTGGCTCCCTCTCTCTCCTCCACCATCATGAGTGGACACACCCCTCTTGCTGATTGGCTCACTCTCTCTCCTCCACCATCACGAGTGGACACGCCCCTATTGCTGATTGGTTCACTCGCTCTCCTCCCCCATCATGAGTGGACACGCCCCTATTGCTGATTGGTTCACTCGCTCTCCTCCCCCATCACGAGTGGACACGCCACTATTGCTGATTGGCTCACTCTCTCTCCTCCCCCATCATGAGTGGACACACCCCTATTGCTGATTGGCTCACTCTCTCTCCTCCCCCATCACGAGTGGACACGCCCCTATTGCTGATTGGTTCATTCACTCTCCTCCCCCATCATGAGTGGACACGCCACTATTGCTGATTGGCTGACTCTCTCCTCCCCCATCATGAGTGGACACACCCCTATTGCTGATTGGTTCACTCTCTCTCCTCCCCCATCATGAGTGGACACACCCCTATTGCTGATTGGCTCACTCTCTCTCCTCCCCCATCACGAGTGGACACGCCCCTATTGCTGATTGGTTCATTCACTCTCCTCCCCCATCATGAGTGGACACGCCCCTATTGCTGATTGGCTGACTCTCTCCTCCCCCATCATGAGTGGACACACCCCTATTGCTGATTGGTTCACTCTCTCTCCTCCCCCATCATGAGTGGACACACCCCTATTGCTGATTGGTTCACTCTCTCTCCTCCTCCATCATGAGTGGACACGCCCCTATTGCTGATTGGTTCACTCTCTCTCCTCCCCCATCTTGAGTGGTCATGCTCCTCACTGCTGATTGGCTACAAATATGTTTTGTTGCTTGGTCCAATCCACTTTCAACAGCGTTTCTTAGAAATCGATTACTGCACCTTTGAGGCAAGTCATTTCACTCTGTATTTCAGTCGTGCGAGTACAGCTCCTATCACTTTGAATAGGGAAACATCAAATTCTCCAAATCTGTTCACCAAGCTTATGATTACATTTCATGTTTTCTGATCAAAATATGATCTCATCTTCTGTTTCATGCTGACTTTAAGGTGTTTACATACCGAATGAAATCAAGATAACGGGCAAAAATCTAGCTGTGCCAATCGTTTAATGTTTAAATATCGAGCTAAGGCATTTACATGATCACACAAATTGTCATTTTAGGCATAATCGAGTTAAGAATGTGCATGTAAATGTTTATACATGATACAAAATAGCTGTTTCTCATTTGGTTGATATTTCTCATATTGACCTGTTGGTAAACAGTGTTTTATGTCAGGTGGGAATGTCTCTGGATGTCAGTATGCAGGGTGTGAGCGTGAGCGTAGCAACGCTGTATGCGATGGCCGTCGGCGTTCCCGCAGCTTTAGTGCTCCTGTTTCCCTTGATTGCCACCGGATGCTCTCCGAATCTCTTCTTCTGCCCCCTTCGCAGGGTGGAGCGGAAACTATCCGGCACGAAGCAGTAAACCACAGGATCCAGGCAGCTGTTCAGACTGCTTAGCGTGATGGTCACATGATACGCAACAACGTGTTGCTCACTGCTGCCCCCTAGCTGGAAGTACACCACGGCCTCGCGCACGTGATACGGCGTAAAGCACACGGTGAACACCACTAATACGGCTACTAGCAGCCTGACGGCACGCGCGCGTCGACCCCAGCTCTGCGGCATTAGCCTGCTGTCCGCTAGTGCGCAGGCAACGCGGACCGTAAACGTCGCGATTACAAGTAGCGGCAAGACGAACTCCAGCACTGTGAGGACGAAGAGAACGGCGACGTGACAACATGAAGCTCCATTAAAATCCAGAGCCGAGGTTTGCAGCGAGTACGTGACCACAACGGCGAACAGCCAAATGCAAACGCTAACGCATTTTGCAGCCGCTGGGCTCCGCCTACGGCTATCCGCCGAACGCACCACCGCCATGTAGCGATCCACGCAGATGCTAGTGAGAAACAAAATACTGCAGTACATGTTCACGAAGTAGCTGAAGGCGTGCATGTAGAAACACGCCACACAGTCGCCGCCGCTGTGGTAAAGCGCGATGCGGGCCGGGAGCGACAGCGCCACCAGCAGGTCGGCCACCGCCAGGTTTATGGTGTAAATGGCCGGGGTCGTTCGAGAGCGGCTCCGCTGGCAGAACACGTACAGCGCCAGGCTGTTCAGGACCACGCCGACCACAAACATGAGCGTGTTCACCACCATCAGCGTGACCCACAGGACGTAGAACTCCTGGTACACAGACTCGTCCAGGTGGGCATGTTTCTTCAGGTACGGCGCCCCCTGGAGGTGCACGCTGGTATTGACGGGAGACTCAGATGTGATGTTAGAATGTCCTTCCAAGATCTCCATGGCTAGAACACAGAAAATGTAAAAACAAACAATTTATAAATTATAGTTATATTATAATTACATATTATTTAATATATCTATATATATTAGTGCTGGCCAACGATTAATCGCGATTCATCGCATTCAAAATAAAAGTTTGTGTTTACATAATATATGTGTGTGTGTACTGTGTATAATTATTTTGTATATATAAACACACATATGCATGTATATATTTAAGAAAAATGTGTTATTTATATATCAAATATTTATATATAATATAAATTATGTATAAATACATACATACATACATACGGAAGCGTATTGCATTCACTTGAGGAAAAAAATCTACTCTGTTTTTCTGAATGAACGAGTTAATTATCTCAGAATTACGAGATAATTTTTTATGTAAAAAAGTTTTTGCTCTGTTTTTCTGAATTAATGACTTAATTATCTAAAAATGATGAGTAACTCATTAATTCATAAAAACAGAGTGAAAAAAATGTTTTTCAAGAAAAATGTATCTCATAGTTCTGAGATAATTAACTCGTTAATTCAGAAAAACAGCGCAAAAACTTTTTTCCATGAAAAATTATCTTGTAATTCTGAGATAATTAACACGTTAATTCAGTATATGTTCACACAAAGTATAACTAAATTTCATACAGTATGTTATAATTATATATTCATATAAATATAAAATATTTTGATTGGTGTACGATTGGATGGTATTTAATTGTTATTGTTGTTTTATTAATCTAAGATATAAATATAATATATATTTATAAACAAAGAACAAGTAGGATAAATAAAACAAATATATTTAATATTATGCTATTATACACTAATCAAAATATTTAACAGTTACAGACAGTTATTAAAATGTAACAAGACTCTTACATATGCAATGTGCTGCTCAAGAAACATTTCTTATTATCAACAAGGTTGAAAACAGCTGTGATGCTTCATATTTCTGTGGAAAAATCTTTCAAAAACATAAGTTTTTACCAATACCAAACTCCTGAATTTTAGTTGTGCTGTAACATATTTCACACTCTTTGATCTTAAGCAGGGTTTCATTAAAAATGGCATTGAGAGTGATTAGAAAAGCCTTTTTACCTTTTAATTACTGTGATGGTCATTGTCTTTACATTTTTTTATCGAAATGAAAATTAAGTTTAGTTGTGATGTGTATGTGTATATATATATATATAGCTCAAAAAAAAAAAAAAAAAACTTTTGAAATGCCCTTAATGCACCACCACAAATCCGGCTCTGCATGAAGCTTTCCATGGCTTTCTAAAAATGGAACATTCTTCAGCGTTTTATTCTGTGAGAGAGTTTGTGCTCCTGTTCTCTGACGTCTCTCCGCTCTGAGTTTTCATGAAATATGTAGAAGAATCTCAGATTCTCTTTCATCAGCTGTTCTGATCTTTACATGAACGTTCCATATTAGGAGTTTAAGTTCCATTTAGATTCTGTCTTATGGAACATCATGTTACGCTGTGTAATTTCCCCACGGTTCAGTCAGCAGGGGGATCTCACTCTAGTTTCTCATGGAAAATGAGGTTCAAATAACCCTACTATAAATACATCTCGAACACAACATACTTTCATAGGCAAATAAACAGGAGATTCTCACCGGTTGGTTTGGATGATGCTCTTTCTGGTCCAGTTGGACGTCGGTTCCTTTCTGTATTTCTTAAATCAAATGAAGCTTCACTGAAATCTCAACAATTTCCATTACTAGTAATGCAGGCGAATAATAAATATGCATATCTGAGTTGAGCAGTGTCCATTTTTGATGATGTCCTGCAGTCTAAACGGCCTCTTTGCCTCTCAAGGATAAGTGAACGCTCTCTTTGCAGAAGTGAGTCTTTCATGAAGAGAGTTTCGCTGAAGAATGACAGACTTTTAGGTCTCGGTCTGTCCATCACACTCCCCTTCCTTCCCTCGCTCTCTTTCTCATCTTCTCAACAATCTCTCTAAATGGCACAAGCCCTCAGAAGTCACTTTGCAGCGCCATCACTCTTCTGGACATCAGCCATGGCAAAACTCACATCCATAGTCCATATTTAGATCAATTCAGCTCTGAATTATTCCCCTTCCTTCTGAGATTTTGAATGCATGGATAATACAAATCATCTCTATTTTGAAAATGACCACAGCTGTGTTTTTAACGCTACAGGTTTTCAGAGAAAAAATTAAATAAAAAATACAAATAGAAATAAACTGGAAAGTTTTATTCGAAATATTAGATATACCTTGTGGACAGATTATAGATAGATTTAAATATTACATTTTGCATGAAGAAAAAGTTATTTATATATAAATGTTTTGTCATATTTCATGATAATTAAAAAAAAACAAAATGTATATTCTGTGTATACACACATTTATATACACACACAGAGATTTAAATATTTAATTTTTCATGAAAATAAAATTTCCCTATATACATTAAGAAAATTTTATATTTGCATTTTGACAATATTGGCTAATTTTATATATATATATATATATATATACGTATAAGAAATCTTAATAATATTATAAAATAAACAATAAAAATTATAATATATTTACATTGTAGCATTATTATTTTCATGACAATTAACAAAAATGTTTACATGAGAAATTGATTTAGATTGATTGATTTAAAATATATACAATATTTATATAGATTTAAATATTCAAATTTTCAAAAATACACAGTATGCATGTGTGTGTATATATATATATATATATATATAATTATTAGAAATATATATATTTATAGATTTAAATATTACATTTAGCATAAAGATGCATAGCATATAAATGTTATGTTTGCATTGACATTATTTTCATGACTATATATCTTAAAATATATATAAATAATAATAATATATCTACATTGTTGCATAATTATTTTGAAAATGATAAATTGAAGAAGCATGCCTGCAAATGTCTTTTTAAGAGGCTCCTCCACTGAAAACACAGTGAGTGATGGTGGACCACCTGTGAGACGGACATGAAGACACACACCGGCACACCAGCTGGAGCTCATGAGAGGAACACGGAGAAGAAACACTGCATTAGTGAAGTCCTGCACCTCATCCTTCACCAGAGCGAGTGTCAAGACTGAAACCATAACACACATCCATGTTACAGTAAATCCTGCTGTATTCTGAGATCATGGTTTGTTATTTCTTTGCATAAACACTCCGAAACAAAAGCCTGAAAAGACACAGATCTGATGCAAAGAACATGCAGATCAAAGAGGAATGACATAACAGCAACAATGATGAAATAGCCACAAAATATGAACTACAGATAGGAAAAGTCGGATGCATTTGGAAGAGAAAAAAAAAACACTTGGGTATTTGGAAACTGAACTAAAACTGCTTTATTGGACTGTCAACTCTTTAAGCGCGAGTATCGTACTCAGTCAAGTCAGTATATACGCATCTGGACACGTGATTTACCCTGATCTTTTAGAACAGGATTCTATGGAAGCCCAAAAGTGCCAAAACGTGTGACATTTTGTCCCTTATGGCCTTCCATAGTATTCTGCCAGCGGACTCTTTACATATGTGCCTCACGGGATGATGGGAGATTGAGCTGTTTAAAGAAGGACTGGTCACACCTATAGCCTATAATGATCACTACATTAGCATCCCCACTAGCGCACAATATCGTTCGGTTTATTCTAATCGCATGCTGCAGTTTTGGCATCTGTCACTTTAAATGCTTTAAAGGCAGGATGGATTGTGATTGGCTCAATGTTTTCATTCCTCACCAGAAACTGATCCCTCTGTGCCGTTATTGTTTTTTGTCTTTTCTTTTATATCTTGAACCGTCTGTATCGTTATCGTCATTTATCATTCTCCGACTTTTTTTGTTGTTGCTCCGATTAATTTTTTGATATTATTACGATTTTTTTGTACTGTGAAATAGTTTTCTTGTATAAAAAATATAAAAAGCATAAATTAAATTCAGTCAAACAAAATCTGATGTATAATTACTTTAACATTAATATTTAATAATTAATTTTTTTTGCACATTTTTTTTTCAAATGCAGATAATTCAAGTCACAATTCAAAGAAACTTAATTGTGCTCCTAATTTTTAAAAAAAAAATTTTGATAAATATACAATATAATTTGACCCAGACTGAGATTCACCCAAGGTGAACCTGCTTCAACATAAAATCATAAATGTTGGGTATAAAACTTCATTTTTTGATTAAATGAGATGTTTTGTAGCAAATCTTCTCAGGTTTGAATGAACTAAGTCTAGAAGGCAGTGTATAATCATCATCATCGCTGATTTCACAAGGTGACAAACTTTGAAGATTAAAGCCAATTAGCATGACGATCGTTTGAGAGGAAACAAACTGAATGCTAATGTGTTTTGTACTAGATGCCTTGAGTCTATAACTGAGCAGAGTCTCTTCAGCGTCACGGTCTAAACATCCGTCACCTTGAGAAAACCCAGAGCCAGTAAATCACTTCTGGCCTTCAACAACTAATAAAGCTGCACTCAGACCAGTTCTGTATATATGAGCGACAGCGACAGGTGTGGCGCGTTCATCATGTACAAGCTCAAGGTAATGACCTGGGGAAGATCTGGCCTGTCCAGACAAAAGTCCAGCATTACAAACAACACAATGATGGTAAAATCAAGGTATTTCAAGATGCTGACTGAATACATCAGGTCAACTATAGCACTATAGACATCAAAGAACAGCGTGGGACATTTCCATTACATTTTCCAAAGAAACATGTTGAACAGAGGTGGTTATTTTAGCTGTACAAAAACAGTAACTCTTACAGAACACAAAAACGTTATGCTGCATGACATTACGGACTGGTATTTGTTATCATATATTTTAGTTTATTATCAAAATCATAAACACACTGGTTTGTAGCGCAAATATACCGTTTGTTGCACTTTGCTATTCTTATAGTTATTTATCTATCCAAGTCTTGAACATTTAAAAATATTCAAAATAAGGTGAATACATATCTGTATTAACTTAATAGAAAAATAGAAATGTCGAAATTACGACATACCAAGTCTAAATATAAGGGGAAAAGTTGAAATTATGACATACTAAATTATAATTATGACTTAAAGCAAGTCGAAATTATGACTTTCTGTGTCATAATTATGACTATTTAATGTCATAACATAATGACAATTTCAACTTTTTATGTCATAATTATGATTATTTTGATTATTGATCATGATTATTTTATGTTAGTTTTAAGTGTCATAATTTTGACTATTTAATGTCATTACTTAATGACAATTTCAACTTTTTATGTCATAATAATAATTTACAAAATCACTTATCATTTAGACTATTTCTTATTTCTACCTTTTATTTCATAATTATGAGGAAAAATTCTAAATTATGACGTACCAAATCTGAATTATGACTGTAAACGACAAAGAAAGTCATATTTTTGACTTTAATCTCATAATTATTTTGACTTCTCAATTTAGTGTCATAAATTTGGCTTAGTATGTCAATTCTGCCTTTATTTCATAATTTAGAATTGGAATTTGATTGAACAAAAAGCCTAATGTTTTTTTCTTAAGTGCTGCAATTGCTCAATTATGAAATAAAAAATGTAAACTGACATACTAAATCTAAATTATGAATTAAAAAGTCACAATTATGACATAAAAAGTCATACATTTGTTTTTAATCTCATAATTTAGTGTCAACATTTCACATTTTCTTCTCATAATTATAATTTAGTTTGTCATAATTTCAACTTTTTCCTCATAATTATGACTTAGTATGTGATAATTATGACATACTAATTTTGACTTCTCAATTTAGTGTCATCATTTTGACTTCGTATGTCAATTGAAATGCTTCATATACATGAGTGTTAGGAAAAAGTAAGAGGAAATTCAGCCGAACGAGGACATGAAGCCTGAGGTATGAATGATATTACTCCATAAGAGGAAACCGTTGTAGGATTTTGAGTGTTTTTGGATTCTTGTGCTTTGATGTGCTTTTGAAACCGCAAGATAGAGTAAATGAAAGAGCTTTTATGGATGTAAAATGAGCATGCGAAGCTCAAAACAGGAAACCTGAATGTCTAGTGTTTGGTCTGAATGCCTGATTAATGCAAGCGAATCCATCACATGAAAGAGTGAATTAGCTGTTATTTGACCCAAACGCAGTTCATTTCAGGACGTTTCCAGAAAACAAATCCTCTGATTTTCAGGAAAACACAATCTTGCGCTTTTCCCCTCCCAACGCAGGACAGATGAGTTACTGTCTCGGCATAAACACGGACAAAAATGAACGTCCATAAAAGTGAAAAACTGGCCCTCGTTACAAATGTTTATTCTTCCTCTCATCATTCTGTCCGAAGTGAAACCTGACAGAGACTTCGGACATGTGAACGTATGAGCTGTTATAAGCGTACGACACATCAATCTCCAGTTAAAAGCAGGAGTTCGCGACACACACTTCCTGTGAGAGTGGAAATCATCTTGTATCTGACGAGGAGCCTGTTTCATTTCATCTCGGAGAGGAAGAAGAGGACATCAACAGACTCTCACGTCAAACATGGCATAATTTACTAGTATAAAAAATAATCAGCCTTCCAGTAAACAATATGTTACTGTAAAGCCGGACATATGAAATAATAAGTTTATATTGAACCTTTAGAGAAAATAATTGCATACTTATATTTGATACATCAGGCTTTTATGGCTCATATATATAGTGAGAATATGGAGGACAAACCAGCTCAAACTGAGAAAAATAGATGCTGAAATGTCTATGGACAAAAAGTAAGTAATTATAATGCCTGTAATGTGAATTAATGAGATCTTTATAACAGATACTGACATACAAATATACAAATCTGCAAA